AAAAAAAAAAAAAGACTTGGCATGATCTGGGTTTTTTTTAGAAATTATTTTTTACTTTTATTTATATATACGAGTCACCTTTTTTTTCTTTTAGACTTTGGTAAAAACGTAACAAGGAAAAAAAATTTGTTTGCTATTTGTATTTTGTCTTATGTATTCTGTAACAAACAAGTAGTAAATGATTATGTATTCAAAAAAAAAAGAAAATAGTGACTAATTCTCATATAAATTGTATTTAATTTTGACCATAGTACATTACTTAAACATTAATTTTTAATTCAACATGTTAATATGTTTATCATATTGCATCCCCATTTATTAGTGAAATATGTTTGTAATTTCCCTTTTATAATAATATATTTTCTCCAATTTTAACATCAGGTGTATTCAGATTAAGTACAATGATTTTGAAGTATTTCTTTTTCTATTGTCTATAAGATTTGGCATGATCTGTTTTTCTGAAATTATCTTTTACTTTTATTTATATTAGTTGTCTTTTTTTTTTGAGACTGGAAAAAACAAAATAAGAAGTTAACTGATCAAAGTATTCTATAATAGACATACTTCTATCTGACAATGTGAATGTTACTTTCTTTGCATTATTACTATTATTGTTGCTTAATAATTCATTGCAGCAATCGTCTCATTTCTTTTCTGAATGTATTTATCTTCTTTTATTCTTTATGAGGTTTTTGTTCTCAGCCCTTATGTTAAATATTATTATTGTCATTAAATTTAGCCTTTTAATTCTGTGAAGGCAAAAGTGAAAACCTAATATACACATGTAAATGTAAGAAAAAAAAAAGCTACTAGTTTATGCTCTGATGAACACTGTCTTCACAGTACGGTAGTAATAGTAACAACTACTCTATAATAATGGAGTTTTCTTAAATGAGCTCTGTGTCTTTTGTATCCCTAAAAATCAAAATTAACACGCTTTAAGCAATGGGAAGCTATCACAAGGAAACAAAGACTAGAGAAAAGGTACAGATTATAGAGCAAAAACAAAGTACATTAGCAACCAGAAGACTAAATAAGATGCAGAAAAGTTGCTTTGAGATAGCACAGGAAAGAGCAAATTAAAGCAGATATGGTCAAGGGATAAAACAAGCAGGTAGGAAACCAATGTATACATAGCACCATGGGAAAAAAGAGGCCAAAATGAACAGCTTCTAGAACTAAGGGAAGTGAATCTAAAGAGGGATAAAAACCAGGCACAAAGTAAGAAACTTGAAAAGCAGAATTAAGGAAATATTCCTTAGTGATTACAACTTCAAAATGACCTAGATATAAAGATGTCCACTCAACAAGACTGTGCTATCACCAAAAGCACAAGGCCAAGAGTTCCCCTGTGGAAATGGAAAGTGTCCCACACCACTTCAGTCAGAACCGGAAAACATCTTCGTAAGAGGCAGGACAGCAGGGTGGCTGAGAACAGCCCCTGGAGCAGCCCGCCCACTGTGAAGCCACATGAGCCCATGTTCCACCACGTCGTGTTAGTGTGACGGGGGCCTATTGTTTCATCTCTGTGTACCTCAGTTTCTCCATCCTGGGCAATGGGGAAACCATAGCTTCTACTTCACAGTTGACACACACAGAGACAAGTACCATGCAATGGCAGCTGTGCAAAGCGTGGCTAGCACTTCATTCATGTTATGGAGAGGACTGTGTTCTTAAGACATACATGCAAAGGCTCCTTGAGCAGTAGGAGCAGCAGTCACCTCCAAAGGAGGAGGGAGACAGGCCCAAGACTGACAGTTGAGGTGACTTATTTTACATCTTTCTGGGTGGTTCACTCTTCTGCCCTGAGCAACATGAAACTTACTTAGCACACATATAGGCATTCTCTCCACTCAGGACATCTGGTTTCACAAAAAGTTCCAGAGCACGCACAATATTTGCAGCTTGCTGAGGAGGACAAAAACAGGGAATAAAATAAATAGCAGAAAAAAAAGGCTGACTCAAGAAATGCCAAACTTAAGGTCTTGTTCAGGCTGAGGCAGCAAATCATAAGATTTCACTTGCATAAACATCTGCCCAGCGGCTGCCACTTTCTGAGACACACACAGAACATCCACCACCAAGGAGCAGGGCCAGACTTCGAGCCCTCTCCAGTGATAGGAAATGCCCTTTGGGAGCTCAGATGGCCGAGAGAAGGCCAACAGCCTTTCTGGGCTAGGGCCAGCCTGAGATAAAGGCTGCTTTCCAAGGCAAGGAACACAAGCCACCAAGCTCCAAACCTGCACATATCTGCCTGCCAGCTGCCCTCAGCACTGGACACTCTCCTTAAGCCGCCCTGTGTGACAGTGCCGTCCCCACCCTTGCCTTCAGACACAAAACTCATTTTACCTTTATTTTTTTTTTAAATGAAAGGAATAGGAAAGAGACTGGAAAGAACTCAGCAAAAATAATAGTCTCTCCATAGGGCAGCAGAGTCTAAGTGAGCACTTCTCCCTGTCTGCCGTAAGATCTTGGCTTCACTGCTGTTTGTCCCACCCCTCGGCCCCACTCTTCCACTGTGAACATGAACGGAACTGTACCCGGATCTCCAGTGCGATGTCCAAGTAGGGGTCGTAGGTGTCCGAGACACTCTTGCACACAGAGCACTTAACTGTAACACAACAAGGAGGCAGTGGGGCAGGCGCAGCCCCCAGCAGTGGGCACCCCCCCGCCCCCAGCTGCCAAGACCTGGACCTGGGAGGCAGACTCTCCACACTGGCCTTAGCCAAGGACCATAATCCCCCAGCGAGTTCCAGTGTCTGGACAGCGCCAGTGTCTGGACTCCTCTTTTGCCGCTGCAGTTCACAGGATCTGTGTCAACACCTTTATACCCACAGGGCCTTTCCCACAGCGATGGCCTCAGCAAGCCACTGAGGAATGGAGAGCGAGAAGAGGGGCAGTAGCACCACCAAACCTTCCCACCACCATCCCTGCTCATCTGCACACTCGCTCGTGGGCTGTTACAACTGGGCAGAGTGGCCAGCAGGCGAGAGGCCTCACAGAGAGGAAATCAAGGCTTGAGACCCCAGTGACCTGCTCCAGTCTCTAAGGCTAGAAAAGAGCCCCAGCCTGTGCTTGAGCTCCTAGGACTTCCTGTGTTAAAATTCTAATCCTAATAAGGGGTAAGAAGGGTCTCCACTTACCACGGGATCTGAGATACCCTCCAAAAATTTGATGGACCAAGGTAGTAGCCTGTGTCTGACGATCCAACCTGAAAGGAGACAATAAGAGAATGACCTTCAAGAGAATGACCGTCAAGAGAATGACCAACAGCAGCTCCATCCCAGTGCCCCAGGCCCATCCAGTACCAGCTCAGCATGACCATACCCCCAGCCTCATCACCACAGTCCCTTAACCTGCATGCTCAGTGGCTCCGTGTTACCTGGTGGTCTCCCCACAGAGCTCTGACTCCCAGGCTCCCACAACAGTTGCCTCAAACCTTTACAACATAGCCTCCCCCCCTCCCTGGCAGCCTCACCGCACACTTCACAGAACATAAAAGGCCCAAGAAGTGTCCCTGTATCCTCACCCAGTTTTACCTTTTTTTTTCAGTCTCAATAAAAATAATCACCCCAAATCAGGGGTAGGGCTGGAGGACAAACCTCTCCCTGAACTATGGGCCTGTCTGGCCCACCCTGCCAGGTCCTGCATATCCAGCTCTACTTCTCAACCAGCCTCTGACCTGGTGAAGCAGCGGGGAGCTTGGCAGGAGTAAGCCTCACCTCCACCCCTCCCACAGAGGACAACAGGGTTTAGGCACCAGGTTTCTGGCAGGTAACACAGCATTCAACACCCCTGGCACCACTTACTAATTGGAGTCCAAGGTGACCCTGGGCCTCAGTGTCTGATACACCCCTGCGGCTGCTGAGTGCTCAGTGCCTCTCATGCTCCTCCCATAGTTAAGTATTCGCTGTGTGGCCATTCACGCCACCTCGAGTCTCTGCTCCTTATTTATACCAGCAACCCATTGCATCTGGTTCCAGATCATTCCTCTGAAACTGCATTCCTCAGAATCACCAAAGGACTCCAAGCCCATACCCAGTCACTTTATAGAGTCTTTTCCTAGAAGATTAAGCAATGAGATGGGCAACCACACCCTCAAGCAAGCTTCCTTGTCTTCCCAGGCTCTCCTGGTTCCCTTCTCCCCCGCTGCTTCTTCCAACGTCCCCCAGTGCAGGGTCCTGGGCCAGGTGCTCTGTGGTGCTATTTCCAGGGCCCTTCCCATGGCCGTGTGGCTTTGCCACCCGAGGAACATGCTGCCTGCGTATATGCAGCTGCTCACCCCATCTGTGCCACTACATACGTATCACAGCACTTCCCAGACTCTGGGAGCTCAAACTACTTGGAAGACCAAAAAAGAGCCACCAAATTTTATTTTGCAAAGATAAAAGATGAAAAATCAACTTCTGTCATCTACTATCGCCACCATCCATCAAAAGAAGGGCCATTTTGGCCTGGTGCCTGTGGCTTAAGCTGCTAAGGCACCACCAACATACACCTAAGCTGGCAGGTTGGAATCCAGCCTGGGTCTGCCAAACAACGATGGCTGCAACCAAAAAATAGCCGGGAGTTGTGGCAGGTGCCTGTAGTCCCAGCTACTTGGGAGGCTGAGGCAAGAGAATCGCTTTAGCCCAGGAGTTGGAGGTTGCTGTGAGCTGTGATGCCACAGCATTCTACCCAGGGCGATAGCTTGAGGCTCTGTCTCAAAAAAAAAAGAAGGGTCATTTTAACTCCAAAACCTAACAAGGACATCATCTTAGAGCAGACAAAGGACGTGCAGGTAGTGGCCACTGGGAAAACCCAGACTGCTCTGTGCCGTCCAGAAGCCAGGAGGGCCAGAGCATACACAGCCTGGAGAACCTGCTCTCAGCAGAAGCAGGAGCAGAGGAAGTGTAATCATCAAATTACCTGCAAGGAGGAAATAAAGCCAGGTTCCAGCAAGCTCCGCCATGCTCCCACCTTGCACCTTGCAGACAAGGGTGGTAGGGGTCAAGTGAGCTGAGAGGAGGGGGGCACAGGGGCGGCAAGAGGAGCACCTTGGTTCCCTGACAGCTTGTGCCTTCAGCAGCATGACTATGGGACAATCAAGTCACATGGCTTAAGTGGCCAGCCCCAAAGGCACGAGCTCTCAGGGGAGACTGGAAAAGGCAGGCAGGCAGGCATCCTCAGGAGCCTGGGAGGAGAAGAGCAAGACAGCAACAGGGGACACTTTCCAGTTCTGGGAAAAACCCTAAACTATGAGAGGCCACCAGAGAAAGAGCCACCCATGAGAAAAAGTACACTTCACTGTGCCCACAGAGGTGGCACCCTTGGATTAAGAACCTTAAAAATTACCAGATCCACAATGCTGAGTGAAGAGCAGTCTACATTTCTGCAAAGGGGCTTTACACGGGAAATAATAAACAAGCAGCAAAATACCTCAGTGGATCAAAACTACCCTCCCCCCAGAAAACAAGAGCTAAGCAGAAGATGGGAGGGGACATCACCCATCGTCAGACACCATGAGATTGGCCCATGGCTGCAGTTCACTGGGTGGGAACACAAATGCCCTCCTAGAAGAATTTTCTAGAGGACAGGCCAAGGGCCAGCAGGGAGGTGGAGGTGGCAGCATGAGGGCTGACGGTGAGCCTAGGAAGATTCACCTGTAGCCCAAGATTCAAATAAAAGCAGGAGATGACTAGGCAAGAAAGGAACATCATTTGAACAGATGAGAAACACTGTAAGTAAAATGGTAGGAGAGGGGAGGGGGAGGGGGAGGGGAAGGGAAAGGGGGAAGGGGAAGGGGAGGAGGGAGGGAGAGGGAGGGAGAGGGAGGGAGGGGGGAGGGCAGGGGAGGGGAGGGGACACCTCTGAAAACCCACAGACCAGACCGCAAGGGTCAAGAAAACAGATCCAAGGGTATTTCAAGATTGTCTACAAACAAAGGTAGTCACTAGAACAAAAATACAGATCTTCTTAAACATCAAAAGAAATTTTAAAAGCTAACAAGCAAAGAAAGATCACATGAATCAGCAAATACGCCACATATAAACATCACAAAATACATTTTTATGACTAAACCAAGAGCAAACATTTTAGCAGTCTTAAAACAAACATGAAGGGTCTTTCTTTTTTTTTTTTTTT